TACCCCCCCCCCCACTTCCGTGAGTCCCTGAGCCAGGGTTGGAGGCATGTCTGTGTCTGTGTTTGTGTGTCAGTGTTAGAGCCGCTGCTGTTCCCCCTGCTTGTCCCAGCAGCTGTGTCCATTCTGTGAGATCTTTGGGATGGGGCTGAAGCAGAACCACCAGCCCCAAATACCCAGGAGCCACGAGCTGGCCTCCCTCTCCAACACAATGAACCTGGCTTAGAAATTGTGATTAAAAAAAGAATTATATATTCGCTGTTTTCAGCCTGTAGGGTGCAGCAGTACCCCATTTTGATAGAATCATGGACTCACAGAGTATCAAGTTGGAAGGGAACTGATCTGGTCCAACCTTTCTAGCAAAAGCATGGCCTAGACAAGCTGGCCCAGCACCCTGTCCAGCTGAACCTTAAAAGTGTTCAGTGTTGGGGAATCCACCACTTCCCTGGGGAGATTATTCCAATGGCTGGTTGTTCTCGCTTGAAACATTTTCCTCTTGTGTCCAGTTGGAATCTCCCCAGGAGTAACTTGTACCCATTACCCCTTTTCTCTGTGACTCCTTGTACTGGAATATGGAGACAAAGTCTCCCCTCTTCAGCCTAAAAACTGTAATTCCCTTGGCTCTGCCACTTGAGCTTTAAGAGCACACCTGGTTGTTGTTAGACTTGAGAGGAAATCCCCAAACCTGTGAGAGCAGCCAGCAGCACTGCACAAGGAAATGTTTTAAAAGGAGACAGCCCTGGTGTTATTTACACCTGGCTTACATAGTATTAACTCCCTGGGTGAGCTTGAGAGGAGGTCCTCTGGCTTGTGCTGTAGTTATTTCCTTCACATTTCCTAGGGAAGAACAGGGAGTGCATATGCCAAAACCCTGCTCCCTCTGGGAGCCCTTGGAGAGGGGGCAAGGAGGTTTTGTGAGCTGTAAGTTGTTGGTGAGGTGAATACATAAATATTCATGGAGAATATACAAACTCATAGCAAGGTAAGTCAGTCCTGCCTAGTTGTATTGTAGTGTCAAGACGCTGATCTCTCTGCTGGTTAATGAGGTGAATCAGGTGGAGTGTAAAAGCAATGTGAGACCAAAGTCAGCTACAGTTTATCCACCCGCAATACCCCTACACGTGGCTCCCGAGCTCCCTCTTCTTCTGTGCTTATTTTTTATGTTGCATTTAATCTAGTGGAAGCCTGTGTCTCACAGATATCAGAGGACTAAGAGATTCCACAAACGTGACATGAGCTCTCCCTAAATTGTGAATGTTGGTGGGTTTTGTTTATTTTTTCTTTTTAATTGGAGTTTCATGGCATTCTTGGAAGAGTGGCTCTGACTGGAGTGTCTGGACTGAATACCCTTAGGGGAAATATTACATCTCCTAGCTAAGGTCTGGCTGAAGTTTCTTCTTTACTTTCTCTTCTATAGAATGTGTACTGTATAGCTGTTAAGCTAATGCTGTGTTCCACCTAAGGAGCAGTTACAGCAGGAAGAAAAAAATGTATATAGAAAAGAGCTATACTCTATAAATATGAGACAGTGGCCAAACCTGTCAGAAGTTCAAACATTATTTCTAACTGCCCTCTGCAACACTTTAAATTCCAAATGGTTTACAGAAATTTTTTTTCAGGAACAATGATGTTCAAAGTGCCTGATAATGGGCTTCCAAACTATTGAAAATCCTGGCTATGGAGAGCAGAAACTCCTTCTGAAAATAGTTTGCTTGGTAGAACTTTGTTCCAGTGTAAGCCAGAATGGACTATTCAGCTTTCAGCTATACCAGTAAAAATCCATATCAGCCCTGTGCAACGCTCAGATAGCAGAGGGCAGAATATGCTTCACTTCCTTCCACGTTGTGATCTCTTTTATTGTTAGCAGTGTTTCACAGTGTAAGGAATCCATATTACTGCCTTATTTTTCACATTATTGTTGCTTCCTTAAAAAAAGAAAAAAGAAAAAAACCTTTGACAGGCCTTTCAGTCCTTGGATCGTGCAACTTCACCAGCTTTTATCTCCCTCCTTTGAGACGCAGTTTTTGCCCGCTCATCTTTGTAATCTGACATTGTGATTTGTTCACTTGCACGCTTGTTTTTCTCCTCGAAGAAGATTTGCTGAATCATTGAGGAGGAGGCAAGAGCTCTAGAGGCAGCTGGTGGCCAGTGATAAAACCACGGCCACATCCAGTCTTCAGGGTTTGCAGATGACAGCCCTTCAGTTGAAGGCCTGAGTCACATTCCCTTCCGAGCTAAGATTGCTGGGGACTTTGGGATTGAGGAAGTGGGGCTGAGGAGGTGGTGCCCCAAAAATATAAATTATTGGTCCTGTCAACCACAAAGTTTGTGTTGTATGTCCTGCAAAATGTATAATGATGCTGATGAGAGAACTTGCAGGCTAGAGGATAAATCAATCCTGCCAAGTGTTGGATATTGTGCCCACCTCAGTGGGAACACATATTTAAGAAAATAGGGTTTTGGTTTGAAATACAATATGGAGTAGCTGCTTCTGGCCTTGCAGTAGCAAGGTGTAGTGTGGGCGAAGATGTGCCAGGGCTCCAAGACAGTCATGAGCCTGTTTATTTGGAAAAGATGCACAAAACTCCACTGGTAAAACTTATGCAACTGTTTATATGAATTTTGCTTGCTGCCTAATGATCAAAATAAGGGCTGGCAGCTAAAATGACTTGTTTCACTTTTTAGGGCTTTCACTCATTCTCTGTATGACTTTGAGCTACTTTCTCTCTACCTGGTTCTTGGTTTCCTTGCAGTAAAAAAGGGATAAGGTGTTTCCATCTTTGTGGAGCATTTTGAAATCTTTAGGCAGAATTTGCTATTTAAATGCGGAGCACCCTTAAGTAAGAAGTAAGAAATATCTGAGTCCTCCAACACTGCTGTTGTGGCACTATGCAGCAAGCACATGGTACTCTGACTTTCTAATTGTTTCCTTAAGTTCCAGTTAAAATGGGAAACCTCAGCTGTTGCGTGCGCACTCAGTCTGAAACCAAAGGGGTTTTGCTGTGTCAGCTCTGCCTTTAATGTAAGGCACTAGAAAATTAGTTTTGTGCATATTTTTGTGACTATCTCCTAGAACTTGGAAATAAAATCTTACCAATAGTACGTGATACTTTTTCCAAGAACAGAGTTTTAACTTGGGATGTTTTCCTTAAAATTCTACTTCAAGGAGGTAAGATAGAAAGCTGATTAAGAAACAAGACTGGAAGTCCAGGTGACCTGAGTTCTGTTTCTAGTTCTCCTCCTCAAATTTGGGAAAAGATTTTAAAGTAAAAACTGTGTATCAGGTTGGCATATCACAATGCAGAGACTTTGCTTTGATGTTTTATACCTTTTCTGTGGGATTTTTCGCAGTCCTGGGTGCTGTTCCATCATGAGATTATGTGCATCTACAGAAATTCTACCTAGCTCTTCTCTGTAGGTCTCAGAGCATGTCCATGGTGTTATCCTCACTCTGCAGATGGGGAAACTTGAGACACAGAGAGGGATAGTGACTGGCTCAGATCAGCTGACAACGGCAAAGCCAGGAATACAATCCTCCTTCTTTGAGTTGAGTCTCATATTTAGCATGCTCCATGATTCTCTGATATCAGAAAATGCAGCTGCCATTTCTGGGCTTTCTTTGCCAGGTGCTGTCACACCTGGATGTCCATCGAGCCTGACTGATTTATAGTCAGGCTACTACACGCTGTATCTAAATAAGGAGCTGGGGCAGGGATGTCTGACTGACACATGGGTTCATCATGTCCACACTCTCAGGATGGGGCCCTTTCAAGAACAGGAATGTTCCATCATCTCTGACTTCCCCTTCCCCAACTGAGGCAAGAGATAACTTCTATTTTATAAAGAGAAGAAACCAGCAGACTTGACCACTGCCAAAAATCCCACCAAAGCTCCTAATATAGAAGGGCCTGGGATGTAAGATAAAGTCCCATTACTTTAAATTTATTCAAAAGGAAGGCAGAATCCATGGGGTAGGGGGTTTTAACTCATTCTTCATGAAGTAGCCTTGAACCTCAGAGTTGTGTTGACCAATGCTAAATGTGTCTGTTGCACTTAGAACTTGCTTAGGAGCTCTTGATGCACAGAGGAATTAAATGTCCTTGAGGTTGCTCGTGGCCTGGAGGACAGTAGATTATGGATTGGAGAAGAAACAGCTGTGAGAAATTTGGCCTGAGTGGTGCAGAAACCACAGGGGTGTGACTCATTTCATGTCACTTTAGATGTCTACAGATACTAGGCTCCCTTTCTCTTCAGGGAGAGAAGTCGGTTTGTTGAAGGCATGACCTCTGTCCTATTTTAGGTATGTGCTTTAGGAGGAGCTAAATCACTTCCTAGATGTGTTATTTACCAGAAAGGGAGCTTTTGAGTAACTGTCTCACGTTGGAGTTATCTTGGCCTACATAAGTGCTGCAGAAGGTTTCCTGCCTCATATCCCACTGAGGGCTTGGGACAGCATTTGCACCCAGGTAGCCAAGCATGAACACATCCTCCCAGCGCAGGCTCAGGGCTTGTCCTGGGGCCAGCTCTTGGTAAAATCCCCTGGTATAGGCAGAACCCAAGTCACCAGCTTGAACCCAGCCAAAGCCCCAGAGGTGGGTGGGAGGCAGGATGACAGCTATCCATGCGGTCTAAATGAGCAGTGACCTGACGACAGCGTGGTCTGACAGGCTGAAGAAACATGGTGTGTTGAAGCTGTTGATCTGATGCTGGTTCTACCCTGCATGGCCCATTCTCAGCAGGGAAACCAAGCAGAGGATGTGCCACGCAGGGATCTGGAATCTCTTGTTACCCTCCCTGTCATGGCTGAGGTATAAGGACAGGGAGCTTGCGCAGGCCTAAGGGAGCTCGTACAAATGTAGGAGAGTCTCTGCTGTGATCTCCAGCTGTATTGATTTGGTTATTGCTGCCCTAGGAGTAGGTGTGAGGGAGTATTTGCTGGCCCATACTCTTGCAGCTCAGATGGGAATGGTCAGGTTTTTCTTGTTCTATTCACTTGAGGTTTTTTACTGTTTTTCAGAAACAGTAAAGGGGAAACAAAGCAATTGTCAGTACACCAAAACTTAGTGACTAGTGTTATTCTGAAGTGCTAGATTCCCCTCCCAAACCTAGGGAAGGCAGCGTGGGGGAGAGCTGCTGCTCTGGGCACTGAGCAGGAGCAGCTTGCTCAGTAAGCATCTGAATTGTTTGCTGTAAATCTGACTCTCCCCGCTGGGCAATGTTCCTCAGAAAACCTTCCCCGTGCATTCCCTCAGGCCCCTATGTTCACATTTGCAACTCTCATGCTGCACTTACCGGGGTTATTTGCATGGATAGGGGCTCCCTGTTGATGCCTGGGTGGCAGAAGCGAAGGGCTGACAGGCCTTTCCTGCCAATCTGTCTGTTGTTCAGATGAAGTGGTTGGAAAGTGCTCTCTCTCCAGTTCCCTCTTTGGCTCAGGCACTCTGATAAGGCATGGGCTGTCCTATCTTGCCCTGGGAGCTGTTCCTCCTCCCTAACAGGCCCGCTTCGCCAGCTGACAGTTAGCAGCCGGCAGTGCTTGATAAACTTATCAGACCGAAGCTGAGCTCAGTGCACGCTCAGCTCCTCCCTAGCCTCAGATTTCCCCATTCCTGGGGACTCTTTGCTCTCTGCCTCCCTTGCCGTCTGGTACGGCAAACACAGATCACCCTTGGGCCAACAGGTCAAAATCAGCCCAAGGACCAGATTGAAAAATGCTTGTATTGAAGCAACACCTTTAAAATGAAGGTGTCAAGTGGGACATTCATAGCGTCCGTATCCAGCTCTGTCTCTCTCCCAGGAATATTATTCATCAGTGGAAATGCTGCTCGTGTCTGGTTTATCCTCTCTGTGTTTCTGCTCGCCCTGTTTCGCTGCTCATTTGGCAGTTTAGTGGTTTTAATGTAGCGGTCTCGCTGCGCACACTTGGAGGATTTCTTTCCAAGCCAGTTAGAGAATTGGGTTGCTTTGCTGAATTAAGTTCCTATGGGCCATTACTAGTATGGCAGCGGCATTTAGGCGTTCCAGCTGAGACCAAGGCTGTGCGAGGCGCTGTATGTGGAAGATAAGGAGGGGCAGTCCCGTTCCTGACTATCTTACCGTTGAAATAAACAAGCATAATGAAGGGGAGAGGGGGAATTATTACCCTCGGATGGGGTGAAGGTTTTTGTGAGCTTTATAGTGCGCTGAACAACTTCAGAAATCCAGCGCTCACGTCTTGCCTGGGGTCATGCAGGAAACGTGTGGCAGATCTCACACAAACCAGTTCAGGGTTGCAGCCTTAAGATCAGGGTGTCCATGATGACTGTTAGTTGAAAGATGGTGGCTCAGGAACTCTGCAGGGATCTGTGTTTTCTTAAGTCTCATCCAGCACAGAGGCAATGGACTGATTTAACTTGTTGAATAATTTTGGTGTGGCTGTTCTGGACTGTCTTCTCTGTGTGTACATGCTATTCCAGGGCAAAAGTTGAAAAACATCTCTGCTTTTTGAGCAGAATAAGTGATAAAAAATTGTGTGTGGTGTAATTTTTTTAATTCTGTAGCAGCTCTGCGGGTCAAGCCCCATATCTGTTCCCAGGTTAGGCCTTCAATGGCAGGCAGGAATGTTTGCAAGGAAATGTGTGTATGCAGCTATTTCTGGGAGATTGTCTGAAGTCAAAGGTTTCCCCTTGTGTGCTGTGCTGATGGGCTAGATCTAACCCACTACTGTGTCCCCGTCAGCTACAACTGTGTGGCCCTGGGGAAGCGACCTGCTGCGAGGACAAGGGACTCTGCTCTTATCTTTTTTTTCACTGAAAACGCTTTCTCGTGAAGTCTAGGGCGGGAAGCAACTGCACTCAGCGCTTTTTTTTTTTTTTTCCCCCAATACAACCTGTTCCCAACTGGAGCCTAATTCTTCCCTGTCCTTTCTCTTGGTTCCTTTTAGGCCTTCCCTAACTATTGCCAACACAACATGAAAACTTCAAGGTTTTGCCTTCTCTAGGATTCCACTCTGTGGAGGTTAATACAACCTGAAGATAAGCTCCAGCGTAATGCTGTGCTAGCTGGGAACACACCTCTGCTTCCTGCAGGTGTCCCGTGGCTCTGTCTTCATTAGGAAGAGAAAGATGTATCCCATGTCCAATCTTAAATCCACCCTTGATCATAATATTTCTGGGCTGCTGCACTCAGTGCTTGAAGGCTGTCTGGAAGACACAGAGGCACCTTTCTCCTTCTGACAGATGCCCGAGGTTATTGCTTTGCATGTCCCTCATTTGCTAAACAAAACAGCCCAAAGACCAGGATTTTCTTTCCCTGGCAATAAAGGGAAGAAGGTGTGAAGAGGACTGGGGAAGTACAGGATACAGGGCGGGCTCAGAGAGGCAAAAACAATCAGCTTTTTCTTCAGCCACAAAGATTAGTTGAGATTTTGCTTTTTATCTGTTTCCTTGATTGACCAACCAGAATGTGGTGTTTTTTTGGTGCAAGGTGAGATGGTGGGAAAGGGGTTGTTTTCAGAGCAGTCAGAACTGGGGAGGATTTGCATGGCTGGAGACAAAGGCCAGGTGTGCTTGGAGTTGGTGACAGCCAGAGCCTGATCCTGACAAGTGCTGAGCATCCTTGGGTACCCATTGTGTGGATTCAGTAGTGCCAAGGATCAGGGAAGCCCTTCGCTGCTCCATGCAGCAGGCCTGTCCCTGGCTGGTGTGTGTTGGGAGAGGAAGGCTCTCCCCCAACCTAGTGTGGTGACATTTGGGTAATGCCAGATCCTCCCCTGCTCCTTCACCTGCATTTCCAGAGCTTCAGGTGGTGCAGATGAAAGCCCAGGGAACCATGCAGCATGCTGCTGTCTGTGCTGTAGCAGAGCCAAGCTGGGTCCCTCCATCCTCAGGAGACAGCTCTCCCTGATCAGGGATTGCAGTCAACAAGGGGCTGTGGGGCTCTGCCTAGTTTTTCCTTTGGTCTGCTGACAGCCATAGTCCTTAAGGAATGATGGGGCCCAGTAGCATTACCTGGTGTTCTGAAAGTGGCCCCTTGTTACTCTAGGAAAACTCTGCAGGTTAATTCCCTCTCCTCTTCCTCCCTTCTCAGGTCATCTCCTGATACCATCTGTACTGTCTTGCTGGCACCTTTTCCAGCTGGCCTCCATCCACAGCCTGTGTTTCTGGAGATACGCTCCCAGAGCCTGTGGGAGGGGGTCAGCCTGGCTCCCCCCGGGGCTGCCTCGGACACAGACACATTTTCCTGAGCACATCTCTGCAGCAGCACGGCCTAGGGCCATCCCAGTGACCTCTACTTGCTGCCCTACCACCTAAAGCAGTCCTGGCCTCTCCTGGGGATGTGCCCATCAGGCTCCTCACAAATATAAGAGAAGGCTGACACTATCTCCTCCAGTGTAACTGCTCTTCAGTAATCTCTGGGCTTGTAACCACAATAATGGTGAAAGCAGCTGCCTGCCCTAGAGTTCTGGGGAAATAAAAGACAGGAGTGGGGTGATCTGTGCTTTGTCAGGAGGGAGAAGCAGGCTGGAGCAGCACAGCCTTAGGACAGAAGGCCCCAGCTGCCCGTTGAAGGTTATACCTCCTCTGTACCATGGAAATCAAAGATAGGAATGGAAATCTAAGGGATACAGTAGCTCTTGTTCAGCAGGCTCTGAAGAACCAGCTGTCTGATTTGTTTTTATGAGTGGTTTTACAGGCAGTCTTGCGGCGGTGCTGATCAGTGTGTGCCAGCACTTCCCTCCAGAATGGCCAAAATTGGGGTGTTTCAGATGAGTCAGACACACCTGCTGTCCCCAGGACACAGATGGGGAAGTCTGTGCTGGTGTGCCCATGTGTTTTGGGGCTGGGGGGTGTTTGCTCCTGAGCAGTTCAGACGCTGACATGCTCTTTAAATATTTCTGTTTGCAGATTTGTGAAGGACAAGGGGAATAACAAACATGGTTTGCATTTTTGGCAGGAGTTTTAATAAGCTAAAATGACTTTACCTTGAGTAGGGCTTGTGCATGTGTACGTGTGTGTGTTCACACGTGTGTGTTCGTGCCTGGTGTCATGGGCAGGCCCTGGAGGTCCAGTTCCCTAAGCCCAGTTCTGTCACAGGTCATACACCTCCCCTGGAGTCCCTGCCCTGATCAGGTTCTGGCATGACCCAGGAAAAGGCAGCAGAGTTTTAACAGGGCTTTGGTAATACCGTCTGCTGGGCACACGAGCCCGTGTCATCTGATGTGGTTGTAGCTGCACAGCCCTCTTGTTCTGCAGAGCTGACCTGCTGCCTGTCTGGGGCTCTGCGCCCATCGCTCTCTGTAGATAAACGTCCCCTGGTCCCAGGTGTTGAGCGCTGTTCGTGGCTGTCTGTAGCCCGTGGGCCCCTGCTCCCTGATTTTGACTGCTCTGAAGTCTAAGTTTGGGAGCCCTGTTCTGCATGTGAATTTCCACCTTTATTTCCACTCAACCCGTGTGGGGCAGTGCTGTATTCTTTCCCTTCTCCTCTCCTCCTCCATCCCTACTGCTTGCAGCTCCACGGCCAAGTATGAGCCTTTCTTGAAATGGATGTTTTTAACATTAAATACACTGTGTTAGTCCAGTTATTGGGAGGGAACAGATTTATCATATAAATCCCAGCAGGCCTGTACATGTTGTCACTGTCTGGTATAGTGCAATAAAAATATACATTAGAAAAAGTATAAATACATATTTACAGTGTACAAGTAAAGCCAGGAGTACAGACTCTGGTTTGAGCTTCCAGAATGCATATTAGTGACTAACAGCTTAGGCACAGGGGCAAGTACATTTTAGGTCTTAGAAAAATAACTTTGGATTTACAGTGGTGTAACTGGGTGTAGGACAGACAACTTCTCTCCTGGCAATAAATGAATTTTCCACTTGGACCGTTTCTCCTTTGCCCATGATGGCAGCTTTACGTAAGCATTTGGAGTGAAATGGCTAGTGCCCCAGTTCTCTAGGCTACTTCCCACCGGTGTCATTGTCCAAGGCCATGTGTTCAGGCATGTAGTTACGGAGTGAGCTGTGCCCTACTACAGTGCCCTGCTTAACTGAAAGCTCTTGTCTTATTAATGCTACAATAATACTTTGTCCTTTCTGTTAAGAACTCGAGGGACTCTACAGACCCGAGTGAATGACCACATCACCAGGAGGGGTGGAGAAATAAAATCCCAGTGCAGTGACTTGCCATATAGTGCGAGTTTGGAGGGGAACTGGCTTTTTACTTGTTCTAGTCCTTTGCTTCAACCTCTAGACCTGGAAGAAGGAGGAAATACCACTGCTCTGTTTGTATAATACATGTAAGGCACCTGCAGACTATGTCACTGCGTATAGCCTAGGTCACTTCCTCATTTAAGAGAGTGGATGGAAAGGAGAACTCTGGCTCTTGACATCAGTATCCAAGGGCTGTTCCTGATCATGCAGTGACACAGGATTGCCCAGGACAGCTCTAAATCGGTATGTCCAGCATGCAGTGAAATATTGTGGGACATACCGGCCTGGATTTCAAGAGCAGCCAGTCTCTCTTGCATAGTACTGACACATGGGGCTGTTTAGTTTATGCCTAGTGCTGTGGCATGGCTCTTCCTGGAGCTCACTTGGTTGCCACTAACCCAGGATCTTTGCAGCACGGTGCGTATGAGGAATGCATGTGGAGACCCCTGTTATCAGCTACAGATAGAAGCTGATTTTTCAGTATTTTCCTCCCACTCCAAGCTAAAAATACAACACAGTTAACTTGTCATTTGATCACAGTAAATGTTCTGCTGAAAGAAAATGACTTTAGGTGTCAGTTGCCAGAATTTATGACCTGGGCAAGTCTCTGCAGAGGCCCTGTCCAGGTTCAACACAGCTCACTGAATGCAATCTATTTGCATGCCCTAGCCTTATCTTCCTAACCATCAAAGCAGAACATGGGTACAGCACTAGCTTGGCACAGATTGTTGCTGCCACTAGCCCAGGGGTTCCCCTCTCACTGCTGGTCAGTCTGATGAACCGGATTCTGCACACTGTGTAAACCTGGAGTAATTGTGGCTTTGGAGGAATTCCTCTGGATTTGCCCTTGAACAGGTGATGTCAGATCTGGGCTGGTACCTGTTATAATTGAAAAGTGAGAGCTCCCACATGTTTCTTTGTCACCTACTAGGATGTGCAAGGCCCTGGGCTGCCAGAACACCAAAACCAATGTCAACTTTGCCAGTCCCCAGGGGAACATAGGAACATATATGAGTTTTATGAGATGGGCAGCCCCATGCTGGATGGAAATGCTGGGGAGAGTCTTCTTCCCTGGAGCATGCACTGGCAGTGGGAGCTCCAGCAAAGACCTGGTGCCAGCCCTCACTTGAGACTGTGTTGGGTCTCCCGGTGCCTCCGCAGGTCCACCTTGCGCTGGAAGCCCTTGGCACAGAGCTCACAGCTGAAGGGCTTGAAGCCGGTGTGCTTGCGGCTGTGAGTGATGAGGTTGGAGCTCTGGCTGAAGGCTTTGCCACACACCTGGCATTTGTGGGGCTTCTCCCCTGCGGGGCAGAGAAAAATAAAAGCAACACTTTAACAGCTGAGAGAGGGAGATAGAACTGCCCTTTAGCAGACTCAGACCCGACTGGCTATGCTCGGGCAGCAGGGAGCTGCCAGCCCAGCTGTCCTGCTAAAGCCTCTGCACTCTGTCCCAGCACCAGAGGAGTCCTCTCCAGCTGTGAGCCAGGCCCTGCCTGCATCCAGGGCTGGGCACAGCCATGACACGCACCAGAGGCTGCTCAGTAACCATCTCCTTGTCCCACAGAGGAGGACATGCATCTCGGTGATTCTTAGACATTTGGCTGTCTTACCTAACAAGGAAGAATGACTTTCCAGTGCCTCTGGACACTCATCCCCAGTCTAATACCTCTGTGTCTAGGGACTATGTATGTGTTTCAACCCGACAGACTCTAATTTGCATTCTCTTATTAGGAATATTTTGTTTCTCACCAGTGTGGATGTAAGTGTGTTTCTTCATATCCGACTTCTGGTGGAAGCGCTTGCCACAATATTGGCAGGGATAGGGCCGCGTGTCTGAATGGATCAGGAGATGAGTGGAGAGGGTGGAAGAACGTTTGAATGTCTTCCCACACATCTTGCACTCAAAGCTTCTTTCCTGTTAGGGAAAGAAAATCATGAGATGTCTGTGGCTGCAAGACATGTGACAGAGCTTGAAGAGTGTTAAGAGTCTCGAGAATAGTAGATTTGATAAGCAAATCTCCTCAGCTCATGGACTGATATGCTAGGTACAGTACAAAGAGAAGGTGGGGAGGGTTACTTATGGAAATGGATTACATCTTGTGATCCAAACTCCTGCACCCTTTAGGAGGAGGCGTGGCACAGAAGAACCAGTAGCAATGATCCTCCCCTCCCATCCAAGGAATTCTCAAGGGCAGTCTGAGATTTGTGAGATCAAGATCTATGGTCTTCAGAGCTCCTACCACTGTCATTGGGTGCTACAGGAAAGACATCACGTTTGTAACCTAGGAAAAGTCACTTCCTTTATAATGGAGTAAACAGCTAAGGTCCAACACTCATCAGGTCCAGAGAGCTGGTTCTCTGGAATCATGTTACCCACCTGGGAGTGAATATTGGTGTGCTGCTCCAGGCTTACGGCGTGTCCAAAGGTTTTACCACATACTTCACAAGCAAATGGACGGGTCCCACTGTGAGACCTTCGGACATGAACCTCTAGTCCATGGGGAGTGGAGAATACCTGCAAAACAAAATGCCAGTGATTTTTTTGACATGAGGCAGCTGTATCTCCATCTCTTGTTTTCAATTCCTTCTCTTTATTTGAATCTTCCCTCTCATGGGCCATGTGAACTGCATCCTTCCTAGCACCCTTGTCCCCTACTCAGGAGAACAAGTAGGTACCATTTTGAGCCGCATGCATTGCACTTGGGTGTAACTCAGTGAAACTCTGATGTATGCAATGAAAATCACTCCAGCCCCTCCCCATCTTTAAGGTTCTCCTCAGTGACACACCTTGTTGCACTTTACACAGTGGTAGGTCTCCAGGTCCGAGGAGTAATGCATGTTGTAATCCAGAGGGGGCTCTGTGCTTGGCAGGAGGTGGCTTCCGTACAGACTAACTGGGTGCTCCAGGAGGGCTGACTGCATGGTGGAAGACATCTGTCGGTAGCTGTATGGAAAATGGAAAGCATCCCAAGAAAAGCCAGTTTTGTAGAAGGTAGGGGTGCTTGCTGTGTTAGTGCAGTCTTTGATCTGCACGTCGGGGATGGCCATCTCTGAATCTGCAAAGGAGAAGTGAGTGTCATGCTATTGCCTGTAGCTGGGCACCAGTAAAAAAAGCTCCCCAGGTACCATCCCCCCCCATTTAATGTCTTGCCTGACCTCGAGAGTTGCAGTTGATAACTCCTCCTTCTTTGAGTCAAATCCTGATCCCCACACAAAGTTCCTATCATGATTTTGATTTCAATCTGAGGAGATTTCAATCTGATTTCAGTCATGGGAGAGGGGATGCTAAGGGAATATGAACCCCCCTACTAGCCTTGCTTCATGTAGACACCTGCCTTGACCCATATAGCCCAGAGCTGCATTAGTCCTTGAGATCTGCAGGCTCACTCATTAGGTATCATAGCATCATCCTGCAGGGAGATGCTGATCTAGACCAGAATCACAAAGGGAAATATAGAATGCTTTTGATGAGCTCTGCCAAGGAAAAGTTTGACCATTGATGTCAAAATAAGAGCTGCCATTTGCTGAAAATCTGGACCCAGTTGTGGGGGCTCCATAAGCCTGCCCAGCCCTGACCTCTTTTGCAATTGTGGTCTTGGGTAGCAGACCTTGAGCTGATGGGCCTGGCAGCATCCTGCTCAGGTACTGGACAGGGACGCTTTCTTCCTTCAGTTCAGATGGGTCCTTTTCTTGCTTTGGAACCACATATTCCAGGTCCTGTTTCTTGATGTCCTCCGGTGTCTTGTCTCCTACGGCTATAATCACACAGTAGTGTCACAGTTAGTTTATTCTAGCTGTTAAGAGAAGAGTCTAATTATTAAGGTGGGGTTTGTACTTATGTATGAACTCATGCTTGGATACATGAGCCCGTACTCAATTCCCTGAATAAGTGCAGAGTGGTGCAATCAGCACAGCAATCAAGGTCTGTCCACTGCTGACAAAGGGAAATTCCAAGGAGGATGAGATAGGCAAGGTAGAGCAGGGCAGGAAGAAACTATAGGACCCTTGATACCCTGTATAGTTAGAGAAAATTAACCCTAGAAGGCCACACGTCTGTAAGAATAATTTCCCTATTTAAAACCATTTTCATTTGTGTAACTATCAATCACTAACTTATTAAGCTCCCCACCCCTCTCCTAGGAGAGTTTGGTATTGTTAACCTGAATTTATGGACAGCCAAGTAGGGAAGCAGAGAGGGGAGGTAACTGCTTACACAGTTGAAAAGGTGATCACAGAGCCTCATCTCCTCCTGCTCACACTCCCATTTTTTCGTGCCTGTTTCAGCCCTTAAAGAGACCAAGCAGCACTTGTTAGAAATAGACTTTATAGTAAGTCTAAAATGGACAGAGATCCAATGCATGTGCCTCCTTTCTGCTGGAGATGGGACTGGGCTGGTGAAGGATGTATTCATCTGTTATCCAAAACCTCTTCTGCACCGGAGAGGCGCAACAAATGGCCAAAGGATGATGGCAGGAATTGAAATTGTCACCTCCTTTCTTTTTTATCAAACTTATCATAGGGCTGGACTCTAATTTGATAGCCAGGGCTAGAACAAAGGGTAAGTTGATACTCGATTTGAATAAGGAAAATTTGAATGGTGCGTGAAGGAAGAAGATAATTGCCATCGCTGTGGCCCTGCCACTGCATGGATGGCTGTGGGAGAGCCAGAACAGGAGCAGAGGGAGGACAGCAGGCATAGGTGGAAGCAGTGTTGGTTGGTGTTAATATAGTAGATAGCATCTGGCCCTTCACCTGTGAGTGTGCAGGACTCCTCTCACAGTCAGTGATCCTCCTTGCAAATCATCAGGAGGAGGTGGTAGCACACTGAGGTAGAGAAGATGTAGGTCCAGAGAGGATGTGGACAGTGAACATAGCAAGCTGGAGATCGAGATGGCAGAGGTGTGAGTTTGTAGAAGACTGACAACCAAGCACAAGCTTTCCCCAACTGTTAGTTGCCTGAAGTTGGCCATCTTTCCCAACACCACACAGCAAGCTTGTATCTCAAATCTCCCCAGCAAAAAAAAAAAAAAAAAAAAAAAAAAAGAAAGGAGGATCTAAATTTGGTTTCAGTGGAACAGTGTGGATTTGGCCTAGAGAAAGAGGGCACACAGCAGGGGATCAGTTTGTCCTTAGACTGACATCCTCGTGGGAAGCCCTGAGTTGCTCTTTAGCTCATTCATCCTACTCCCTTAGCTTGCCTACTCAATTATTGATTTGCCTTGGTGTATTCTTACAAGCTCAGTGGACGGATTGACTCACCAGTGAAGGGAGACGTTATTGGATTCCACGTGAGTATAGGCAGGTCATCTTCCACGAAGCGCTGCTGATGATAGCTATGAGCCTTTTTGCTCTTCACCAAAAAGGAACGTGGCATTTTCCATTCACTGCCTGGGCAGAAACACAGAAAAAGAGCAGGTAAATCTCTGTGGTTTGGGGGATAATTTCTCATTTGTTTCCCCAGCACATCAGGTCTATATGCAGGAGTGATGAGGATGGGGAGACAGAGAGTTCATCTCAAAGGTCCGGCTGAAGAGGGAGAAGTGGTTGCTTGGGTTTAGGTGCTTGATGGATCTTAACTTTGGGGAAAAGACATTGCTGTGTAGGGGGCTAAGTGAAAAAACCTATTGCCAGACCGTCTCTGCCACTGAACGTGGACAGCAGATCAAAGCTGGGATTGCAGATTACAGCATACTCCTTACAAAGAACATTTCCTAATCTACCCCTAGGTTGAGACTATCTTTATATTGTATTAAACAGAGTGCTGTGTTACAGACCAGCACTGTGTCTGTGGCAAAGATACATTGGGAGCAGGATCTCTCTCTTGTAGCTCTGGGTATAGGACAGGGTGCACCTCTGACCTTACCCTCCCACAGAAGACACGGTGGGAGCCACGGGCCGGACATCAACCCTTTGAGAATGGGTCTGTCTTGGTGTTTGTATCACACTTAGAAGAGCACAGTCCCAAGCTACGAGATGGGCTCCTCTGTGAAGCTGCTACACAAATAATAATTATAGAAACAACATCAATAATAGGAGAGGCGCAGCGGAAAATCACCACAGCTGTGCTGCGTGGTGGGTTTCCTTCTTGTTGGCCATAGCTTGAGTATTTTGTATTCTGGCTGACAAACAACAGTCAAGCAGTGGCAGAGCCAAAATGCTGGGTGACAGAGGTTACCTTTTGGATCTGACTTAAATATCACAGACCGTTGAAACGACGGGTTAGGAACAAACATAAAATGCTGAAATTTAATCATACAAAATTCTCTTGCAATGCATCTGTTATCTTTACTACCCAGAACCCAGCCCGCCCTGTGCCTGTTCCCCATGGCTAGTAACAGTTCTTGTGTAGGCAGTATGACAACAGGCTCAAAGCTGTGTAGGGCAATATCAGCTGGCGCCTTATTTGCATATGTATTTGCATTTTCCCTCGTAATTGTTCAGGACAGTGGTACTAAAAGCAAATCTTGATGTATTTCATAGGAAAAGTCAGCAGTAAGTCCTGGCTCTCTGTTGATGGGAAAGTACATTATTAAGTTTTGGTTTTTTCCTGAGAGCAGTTGAAGAGTAGCCAACTTTGTTTTGTTTTGTTTTTTTAATAAATAAATTTTCTCTGGTTAAGTAAGAATGACCTGAAACATTTGTGTGAGTCAAGACAGAGCAGTGCGGGCTCCTGGAATCCCAAACAGCCAGGGATGGAAAAGATCTGCTCCCTAGGGTTCAGAAGTGCCTGCATGCTAAATATAATTACACAGCCCAGCGATGTTTTGTTTAAAGGTCTGAGGGCACATTTACAGTGGTGCCTACAGCTGCAGGTACGTGTACGGGGGAATTCACACAGCGAGGTCTGCTGTGGACAGGTGGATTGCCAAGCCCGCTGCTGTGGGTGAGTCAGGTGCTCACCAGCCCAGCTGCCTTTGGAAATGCAGTTATAGCTGTCTTTTTAAATCTGGTCCAGCATTCCCAGTTTCTTTTATGACTTCAGGGATAACTCTCAGTGTCTCCAGCTATTTTTTCTTCTGAAATGACTCACCTGTTTTTCTTCATCTTTTTCCAAGAAATTTGCATGTAACTTGAGATGAATAAGAGAAAACAGAGGCCAGGAGTAGATTTGTTAATTTAATTTTAGAAAGAGGACAAAACAGTACTGAGAATGAACCGTAAGTGTGCCCTTGAGGGAAGGGACACTGAAGTACATTGCTGTATTTACTCTTCCATAGGTTCCTTCTAAGTATCACAAAGTGTATCTCTGCCTGGCGAAAGGCTGCGGGCACAGAAATACTTCCAGCTTGGTACAAACACAGGCGTGTTCTGCAATGGGTATAACCCTTTTAGCAGTGTGCTTTGCTGAGCCTGGGCACCACGGATCCTAGCAGAAGTGCTTAGCTCAGAGGGTCCATCCCAGATGGAGTATCTGTGCGTGGAGCCACACTCTGCAATACAGAGTACCACAAACTCTATACGTGGAATTTCCACTAATGTTGAAGGGATTTTCCCACGTGGTGGGGCAGGACAATGTCCACAATGGAGGGTATTCATACCAGCAAACTTTAGACATTGGCTTTCTCTGCCTGAATTAACCAGTTAATTTCCCTGGGCTTCCTACGCAGTGGAGGCAGCAGCTCTGGCAGTGAGTAACTCTGAATGTAGGGAGAAAGCCTGCACTCCTGCCCACCGGCAAGAAGACCCTATGGGCTGTCAGCCCTATGAGCCAGGCTGATTAGCCAGGTAGACCAGAGGACTGGAGATGGGCGGCATAAGCAATCTTGCAGTGCTTTATGGTAGTCCCCATACACTAAGTACGAGGGCACTAAGTACGCCTCTTTTTGATGGTGTTTGAGAGGAGATGCACAGGAATCAATGGGATTTTTCTGGATGCGTTTGCCCCAGCATACGTAAAAGTCAAATTTGGTCCAGTATCTTGAGTGCTGATAAGGGCCTCTGCTGAGCACAACAATCTTTAATATATTACTGAACGTTACAAAAGGAAGTTACCTTCCCCCACCCCATTTTACAGAGAAAACAGGAACTGGGAACCCAAAGCATAGTTAATTAACAACTGCATTGGACTGTCTTTGTGATTCACACAACCGGGTTAGAGGAAAGCTAGAAGCACAGATTGTGAGAGAAAAAATACTATCTCTCCTTGAAACTCAAGATTATCAGTAGTGAGTGATCAGCTGCTACAAATGGCTAACGATATTTCGCAAGGAATGTAGTGCTATGGACAACAGACCCTGATACATCTTAAATTCATTGAAGCTTCCGACAGAATTTAGCTTCAACCTTTCGTTAAAAATTAAACTTCATATTTATGGAGTCTGTTCTCGCCAGCCCCTGTGGCAGCGGTTTCTACCTTGACAGGCAAGTGCACAATGAGTTCATTGCTTGGGCAGGAGTGCCTACACAAAGTGGAAGTGTTGTGGCATTTTTTGATTCAATACAGGGTATAAAATCAGTAGCCAGCTAGAATTGACATTCTTTACCAGTCATGTAGCTGTACAATAATGTTGTAGTAATCTGGCCTGAGGAAAAGACAGCCAAAAGCACCCAAGGTAAAAAAAACCTGCTTCACTATATGAAGCACCTTAGAAGAGTTTCTTTTACCAGCTGTAAATTCCCCAGTCAGATCTGAAAGCGGACCCAGCATTCGTGTGTTCCCCTCCTATGTTCAAACTCAAAGTTCCTTCATCCTCAGTGATGCTCCCTGGTGATTTTGCAGAGTATCACATGTAAAATTTTAATGTAATACTGAAACGCTGGAGATTGTGCAAGAACCAAATTAAAAGGGTTTTTTTTTTAGGGGGTGGTTTCTGACTTCAGGATCCTAATTTCACTTGATTCTATGTTCCCCGTGAAGCCTTAACTCCCACTTCACCGCACAGCAGCTTGCAGTATCCAAAATTACAGGATTGGACCCTTTGATATTATTTAGAAGAAATTATTATTCTCACTGGATTAGATTACTTTCTGGTTCCCTCAGTGAGAGGATTCCTAACACAAAACACCGTATTTGGGAACAGGTGTTTGCAGGATTGTGCCACGCTGAACCAGGAACCCGATCTGCAGTGTAAGTTCCCTTCTAAAGCTGACTTTCATCTTCCTCTAAATTCAAGTAATCCTGTTTTCAAATTTACGAGGTTAATTGTAGAGATGAAACCCTTCTTCTCACAACATTCAGCAGAAATACTGAATTTTAACTTAGGTACATAGAAGTTGATGGGCGCACAAAGTTTTAGGCTAAAAGAGGCTTATTTCCTTCTCATTGCTTAATTTATATTTTAATCTTAATATTGCTTTTTTCTGTTCTTTCTGGCAAAGGTGAAGCTTCTAAAATAAAGAATAGTCTGTCTGTCAGAAGACTACATTTTTGAAGAAAAAAGCACAAACCAGAACATGACCTGTGTCTGAAATTTTTAAGATCCCAAATAAGAGGTTTTATGGACTCCTGACTCTTTAAATATAAAGTCATATTCACAAAGAATTTCAGCTCTTTACAACAAAATTAATCATGTATTTGCTAGTCTACCCTTGCAAAATCAAATGGGCAAGTACTTTGTGGCTTTTTTAGTGTAAAAATGAGCAGAACATTTTTAATTCCTGTGGTAAAACTGGGCAAATGTACATTATGATGGGGGTAGAAAATTATGGTGGAAATTTTGCCCAAGAAGTGGAACGGAAATGCTTGTACATCTGTAGTAGCTAGAAAAAAAAATGTTTAGAATATAATTGCAGCATTTGTTCTCTAGAAACCTCATTTAGCCCCTAGTGTTGTTGGGAATGCCACTGGCTTTAGCAAACTTTACCTTAGGCTTCCACAGATAAACAGACTTATATAGTGCAATCTACCAAATTCTGTATCCCCTTGATGTATAGATGTGCTTACTGTGTGGACTTGCAGATCATTTGCTTTCCTGCTTAATGTATTGAATCAATCTGGTGGTGTATGAGGAGCGTCTATAAATAGCTAATTCCATATGCTAAAAATTGTTACACTAATCAGCCTATACTTACAGAGGATGGGAAAATAATAAAATAAAAGATCAATTTGAAGCAAAAAATCCTAATCAGGAGAGACGGAATTCTCATCTAGCAAAATGGGGACAGATTAATTGATGTCAGCAGAGGTGTGCTGTTTTCTGAATTTAAAGGTTTGGCCCTGTAAAAGAGCAATTAAAAGGAAAGATATAGTATGCCCTCTCCTCAGTGCTTAAGTACAAAAGTCTACATCAAGAAACTATTCCAAAGTCTACATCTAGAAACTATTCCTGCTACATGGAGCTTGCTGGGACACAGGTATCTGAGACCACTGTCACATCTTCAATATTTTGCTCTAATATTACCATTTTCACATGTGAGAGTGTACTAAGTATATGGTATATAACTTTAAAATGGTTTGATTCATTTGAATTAAGTGAACCATTATCATAAAGGACTCCTCAGGACAAGTGACTTAGGCAATGGAATATGTTACACATTTGGAAACACAAGCAAAGAAGAAGAAAAAGCTTAGAAAAACATATCAGAGAAATGAGAAAAACAATGAAATTAAAAGTGTTTAAAAGAATAAATCAATCACCTGTTTGGGGGACTTTGCTTTACTGGATTCGCCTTGAAACCTTCCCAGACAAGCGAGACGTCGTCTTCTCTCTGGACTCCTCTTCCACTTTTTCACTTAGTCGCAGTCTGCTGAAATAGATACTTCTCCTTTTTTCTCTCTCAGTTTTTCTGCCCCTGTTCCCCTCCCTGATTTTTCAATCAGATTATTTGTGTCAAAATCTGGCGGTGAAGAAACAGCCAATAGAGAAGCAGAGCCCAGAAAGTATTTGCTTATCAAAACTTTCCAGGACTTTGAAAACTTGAAGAGAATTCACGATGCCCAGCTCAAAACCCTAGGGGCAGCACCCTTCACTTTCTGGGGCAGCTTCGCCTTCTGCAGGAATACTCCTCTGTCATATTGACAAAGAGCATGACACAGTGAAATAATGTACAAGCAGACATTTGTTATTTTTTAAAAAAAAAAAAAAAAAAAAGAATAGCTCTTAAGAAACCTGTATTTTTACACACATTCATCCACGCATCGTATCTTTCACAAACAGACACACCATCTGTCTCACATACACACACTCACATACTTCAGCCTCATAAACAAAACCATCTAGCACATATGCACAAAATTATTTTATTCCAGAATGAATCTTTTATCTCTCCAATTTCCAAGGAAAAAGGAATAAATACTTGCACAGTAATAACTGAAAGAGATGTGTGTTAATCAGCCTTCATTTTCCTAGGCATATGTGTGTGCAATCCATACATATTTTAGGCATTGCTCTATCTATATACAGCTGTATATAGGATATAAATATAGATTTAAGAAAGCTCATTAAGCAAGCTCATTAACAAGCATCTTTGAAAAAAGCTCTTCAAGAGCAATAATAAGAATTTGCACTTCTATCACTTGCTTTCAAAAAAGGTTTGAAAATGGGTTTGCAAATGTGAAATAATTGACTACCAAACCCCCCCCTGTAACAGCAGGGCGGAAGGAGGGAGAATGAAGCAGAGGCAAAGTGACTTTTCTTAGATCGCCCGGTTGTTCTCTACTAGAGGTGGGAACAGGAGCTGGAGAGCAGTGATTTTCTTTTGAGAATCCTTGTGCATGACTCTATTTAGGGACAAACAAGGAGAGCTGATCTCCCCAAATGTTTGGGCTGGGGGAAGTAATTCCTTGATTTCATCCATTCTCTGGTTATCACAATCTTCCTGACTCTGCAAGTACACAGCGGCATGAGCTGTATGTGCCCTCGGTTATCCCCTCTTGCACTTACAGCACACTCTGTGCATGGCTGGAACTGGGACAGCAAAGATGCCTTCTGAGAGTTTTATAATTTAAGATGTATATAAGCATACACGCAGCTGTTGAGTGCCAAGTACTAGGACATCACCATCAGAGTAATGCCTTTATATCATGGCATTTTTCTGCTCCCTGTGGGCTTTCAAATGCATTTCACTCTTTTCTACATTCGGTTGCATTAAACCAGGACTCAGCTGGGTCCCTTTTCCTACTGCAGCTCAGGGTGGTGAAAGCACCGGGAAGGAATAACCTTTTTTCTGCCCTGCAACAGGGTCAGCAGTAGGCTGGCGTTTCCCTGATGGAACAGACGTGGTCCAGAGACGCTTCAGACTCACAGCAGAGGCATTTTGCATCCCGCGGTGGTGCCAGGCCTGCTGGCCCTCGCGTTCTCTGCTGGGACAGCCACAAGTCCCAGCTCTTGTCATTGTGCCCCGTGCGGGCACCGCGTTGCCCCATGGCACCGGACGGGCTGTGCAATGCGTCTTGATGCAACTCGGAGATAAGAGTGTAGGTTTCATCCACATTGAGAAAGATTCAGATTTTCATCTTAACCCATCTGTCATTTACTGAGCATAATTAATTCCTGTTGTTTATAGAAGCAAACAATCCCTTTTTCCCTCTCCCTCCTCCTCTCCTTATTTATCTAGCTGGGTTTTGCATGAAAGAAACGTTCCCAAGGCATTGTGCTAGCAAGCTGATTTGCATCCTCTTAAACACAGGCATTTGAAGGATTACATTTCCCGCTACAAAAACAAGCATTGTAACAGAAAACCAAAATGTACACTGCAGCTTCAGGGTTTCATGTGAAGACAGTTACAGGAATTAAACAAAACAGGAAAATGACAAGCTGCTGAAAGTACTGAGATGTTATTTTATGAAACATTGGAGCTGGCTCCTGCCAGCACCCCTAAGCAGACTTTCCATTGACATAAAGTGCAAATGGCTGCAGAATGTGGCTCTTACACTAGAGACAGTAAAAGCAAGTCAGCTGCACAACAAAAAAAATACAAAAAACTAGTTATGCAAAAAAATCTAATAGCATGTTCAGTAAAACCTCACCAGCCAGCTGATTTCAGAGGTGCTCCAAAGAGCACTGGGCACAGCCCTCTGGAGGAGGAGGATGGCTATGTCTCCCAGTGTCAGTAACCTATACTGCAAATAAAACATCAGTGTCAGCTGTTCTGTTTCCCCACGTAGCCATCATCTCGCAAAGCCCAGATATAATTGCATACAAACTGATCCCTGAGGTAATGGGCACAGATACTCTTTTTTATGACTACTGCTATTATCACTACACCAGAATGCCTGAAGAGAGATGGGGATATGGCTGTGTCTGGTTCAGCTCTTGCCCACCCCCTCTCCCTTTATTTTACTTCAGGAGTTCCTACAGAGCACATAGTTGCAGGATGGGAGCGCAGTCAGCTATCGCCTTGGCTTCTTGTGTTCTTACTCTTCCCTAGATTTCTGTTTATGGCTTCTGTTAAACTTATCACCTCTCCTCTCCAATGAAATCACCATCAAAAGGCGCTTTATAGAAGCTGAATTTAAAAAACAGAGTGCTGGGGATGCGTTTGGGGCTAGAAGGACCTTTGAGCTGACCCCATGTGGTCATTCTTATTTTATGTTCTTCCTGTTGATATAATTTTCCCTGTTCTCTCTTCTTGTTTCAGGGCCAGCAGGGAACGGAGAGCCGCAGAGGGTTTATCTGGGCTCACATAGGCTTGTGTTGGCCCCAATCCACAGGGGCCACAGCTGGATGTACAGTGAATTGAGCTTGAATCCGAGGACAGTTTAATTGTGTGTATTGCCGTGAGTTCTTACGACATGTCATATGCTCCACTGCATCCTAAGCAAATGGGATTATTAAATGTGTAACTCAGTAATAATAAACAGGTTAATTATAACACATCATGTCCATTCTAATGCAGTCATTTTCCCTTTCAAATCTAGCAACAACCCCCTCCTGTAGCATCCATGTTTTCTTTGTCAATTTGAATGTTACAGCAATTAAGTCACAGTAAAATAACACAACTAATTGCTTCCAGCTCTTTTCTGAGGCTCATCCTAATTTCCACTCTTTTCTGTGGCAGATTAAATAAACATGTCTTCTGCACAGCAGGAAAAAAAATACCATCACTCAGTCCAGACTGTAATAAATATTAATTGCCATGCACAAGGCAGGACTAGATTAAAAACATGTTGGCTCCAAGCAACTCTATCTCATCCAGAAGCAGGATGACCTATTGCAGGTGCAGTGTGAAGGAGCTATCTCAGCCCTGCAGGGATGAGAGCCGCGAAACACCACGGCTAACGCCACTGAAGTTACAAGTCAACTGATGCTGCTCAGATGGGGTTCTAACCTGCTTTTATTTTCTTACCTAGTTTCTACCTTGCAAATTTAATGTCTGTGATTCCTACCGGCATCTGAGGACAATTCATATGGGTTGAAGAGTTACATCAGCAGCTTGCCAAGCACCCTCGGTGCCTCCCCACCGAACTGCTCCTCCTTGGACAGCGAGAAACGCCAAGACCTGGCCAGTCTGGGGATTGGAACGTGGAGAACCTGTTAGTGTGGCACAGGAAACCGAAGGCCAGAGAACCCGCCTTGAGGTAATTTCCCTTCTTCTTTTCCAGACTTCGGATTTTTTACAAGAAATAAACCTTATCTAGAAGGAAGGATGAAATGTTTTTATGTTGTATTTCAGCAAAAGAAAAAAAAAAATCCTCATCCAGCGGTTTGCATGTGGTGTTATGTGGTCCAAAATAAGAGGAATGAAAAGTTTTGCATGTTCATGAAGCAGAGAGCAATCCAACTTTGTGTGCCTGTAATGGAGTTTCCTTCTTTTGCAGTACGGTCCCCGGTAACATTGCCCCCCCCACACACACACATAGAGAAACACTTTTGAGGCCTTTTTATTCCCTTTCAGCGCATTTACAGACCTTTAAAAAAAAATCAACAAGACTTTCAGGCAGGAGCCTGGAACCGAGCTGACGGGGCGGCCCGCGGAGCCGCGGCACGGCTGCCTCAGCCAGCCTGCCCTGAGGGCGGGCGGGCAAGCAGGCAAGCGGCCAAGGGAGGCCCGCG